CTCTCAATAATAAAAAACACTGATCCTCTTATATTTACATAATAACTTATAAGTTATTAATCCATTTATTAAAATTTAATTCAATAAACTCAGTACTATTTATTAAAAGATAGTTACAAACTATTTTAGTATTGACCATTTTTTTAATATTTAAATCAGTAGATATTTAGAATCAAATTGTGGAATACTTTAAATCATTAAATTCATTTGCAATATTTAAAAAATAGGAATATGATTTTTTATTTCTTCTTTCCACTAATGGTTATTTTAAATTGCATATCAATCTATCTAAGCTCAATTGATATTATCCTTTTCTTTAAATAAAAATATTGAAATCAGGCAGGAATGTGGACTCTTTAAGTTTGCTTGATTTTTGAAATAATATTAAACTATAAGATTTAATAGACAAATGATGATTAATTTTTTTACTAATTTTTAATTACACTATTATAGATTCTCAATCTATCCACTATCCTATCGTTTTAAATACTATTAAATTTTACTTTAAATTCAACTAAGTTTAAAATTCTTCCCACTTCAATTTTTATTTAATTTAAGAAACTTTTACTTGAACTCAGATTTTTATTAATTTATATAAATTATTGTAATAGTTTATCTGCTGCACTTATTATTTGTATATATAGAATATATTGTTTTATAAACAATATCAAGGTTTCCTTTTCAGGAATATTTCTGTAAAATCAATGCAAATGGATTAATTAATATCAATTATAAGATTAATTAAGATCTAAATAGAAAACTGTAATCAAATAATATCTTTTTGGTGAATAACTTATAAATATAGCTTCATAAAATCATTTCGAAAACAATTAATCTGATAAGTTTTATGAAAAAGATTTAATTATCTCTTTCAAGAACATTTTTTATTTTCTCAAAAATTCATTCAATTATCATACATTAGCCAAATATTGTTTCATTTTTTCATAACTAGCTTTTATGTCAAATAAATAGTTAAATGTTTTATTAGAAGATCTATAATATTAGAATAAGTAAATGAATGTATATTAAAAGTTTTTTATTAAATTTATCAACTTCTTTCTTAGATATATCCTCTTTTCTGAAAATTATATTTATTCTAATAAGATGAATAGCTTACAAAATAAAATCACTAATTCTAATAGTAATGTTAGGATAGCTTCCAAATATTTGAAAATAAGCAACGAATTCCTTGTTAGAATGAATTAATGTTTTATTAATTTATTTTAAATTTTCATAATGCCCCCAAATATAATTTCTCTATTAGGATAGATACATCAAAATCAATGCAAATTCTTCTATTAACAAAACATGGCTTATTTTGAATCAAGTGAAAAATAAATATATGGTGTCTTATATTCTATCTCTCCATCTTAAACTCTCCTCAAAACTATCAATAGTCTTACCATCGAGCTCAAACTTTATCTAATCATAACAGTAAAATGTCTGCCCCACAGTTCCTAGCAGTTTTATTTCATATTCACTTGTTGATGCATTGTCTGGTAATTATTTTGCAATTCTCTTATGTGAGACTAACACAAGATTTATTTGAATAAGTAGATGAATTAGCATCCTAATTACATTAATATTCCAAATGATTTTTTTCTTCTAGAGCATTTATGCATATACATTAAAACTATTGATCTTCAATACAATACTTAAACTTTTATCCATAATAATTTAATGCTTAATTAATTAAGATAAATTAATTAATAAAGTTTCAGGATTTTATTTATAATTTATTGGCAACAATTATTATTACTATTTTCTCCCCAACTCTTATGACTCTAATAATTTATATTGTATTCAAAATATTTAAAACAAATAAATCAATCGGAATTCTTTTTGAAAAAGATCATGAAAAAAATTTTATTTAAAAAGTTGAATTATTATAATAGAATATAATAATAAATTTAGTGTTAATTTCTATTTAATAATATTGGTAAAAAGGAAAAAAGATGAAAGTAATATGATGTATTCTCACTAAATTGACTAATAGATATGAAAATATAAGATATAGAATATAGAATTGAAGTATAATAATATATATTATTTATAATAGAAAATTGGAAATATATTAAAATATAAATAATAAATTATTTAAATTGGATGTATAACCAAATCTGTTCCAAAAAGTGTAATAGAATTATCATCTGTTATAATTATTTGTTAGATTAGGAATCTAATCTAGAATATAATTTAGAAAGAAGCGCAGATTGATAATGCATATGAAGAATTATTTAATAATTAAATCCATAAAATACAAATGTTATGGAGAAAATCAAATTTGAATTATTGATAGGTTAAAATCATATTAAAATTCGTTTGATCATAATCATAATTGTCTTTATAAATAGATAATTCAAGCTAAATCATACATATTATAATCGTCTTTCATATTTTCATCATAATTACTGAGCTATCTTTTTCATTCTTTATAAATATATATGTTTTATGGTACTAAAATATAAATAAAGTTGATATTATAGAAATAGAATTTCAATTAAAAAGATAAGAACATTAAATTTCCTTTACATTAGATGATAAGAATAAGCTTTTACATTTTATAATTATATAGTATATGTGTGATGCTTAACTATTAAAATGAACGGAACCATTATGATTGCTTTAGATCATAAAGACTTTAATAAAGAAAACATAAAATATATAAAAATAAAAAGATTGTTTTGCCAACAAAGTCGTAAAATTAGTTTGAAAGTTTATGAAATCTTTGATTTAAATAAGATTTCTGATTCATAAATCAATCATAGTGAAAATATTTGTATAAAATTGTATTTTAGCTCATAATAATATGACCAAACATATTTTTATAGAATATAGAATCTTCTCAAAATTACCTTAATGACTTATATATTGATCTGACTATTCTCTCTAGGTAATAATTATATTCTTGATAATATAAAAATAGTAGGTTAAATTATTTCAGGGCTGTTTCTTCTTTCTACTGAGCAAATACATAATATTTGTTTGAAGAACAACTTAAAATGAGAGAATAAATAGCATAATCAGAGAAAGGGTAGAATAAAAAGTTTAGTGAATTAAGGAGTTTAGACACTCTACAGGCTGTATGAACTGTGATTTAACAAAGTTGATATTGAAAATGATGAATTTGATAAACTATATGAGGATATAAAAAATATTAATGTGATGTTTAAAGATGATACTTTTTAAATGAATAATTATATGAGTCTTACATTATCAAAACCAAATAAAATTTTGGAATTGTTTTGAAGATATACTGTAATTTCATTTCAAAAACAGCAAGAAAAGAAGAGGATATTTAAAGTTTAAAAACTTTAATAAATTTTAAACAAAAAGACTTTTTGCAGAAAGAAGAACAGATTTTTAAGAAAGACATGAATATTTATTCAGAATGAAAATAAGTAAGATTAAACCTTTGATGATATATATGATTGGAGACATAGGAGTTATATAGAATAGATAATTAATACATTGATTCTAGCAAGATAGATATCTTAGATTTCATTTAAATTTGATACTTTGAAAGTATATATCTTTTAATTCATATAATTTAAATAATTATAAAGAAGCTGAAAAGTGCATTACTTACAGACCTAATCAAAAGATAAATACCAAAACTAATTTTTTGAACTAAATATTTTTATTTTATAAAAATATAATGATGCAATTAACTGCTTTGACAAGGCAATTCAAATAGATCTTACTTATGTCAATGCCTATTTAAATAAAGGTTTATATATAATTTGATTATAATAGGCAGTTCATTACATAAATTATAAAAATATAATGATGCAATTAATTGCTATGACAAGGCAATTCAAATAGATCCTAATTATGCCGATGCCTATTTAAATAAAGGTTTATATATAGTTTGATTTTAATAGGCAATTCATTAAATAATTTATAAAAATATAATGATGCAATTAAATGCTATGACAAGGCAATTCAAATAGATCCTACTTATGCCATGGCCTATAACAATAAAGGTTTATATATAATTTGATTTTAATAGGCTTATCATTAGAATGCCTCAAAAAATATGATTAAGCCTTAAAAAATTACGACTAATCCATAATGATTAATAAAATAAATGCTTAAGCCTATAAATTAAAAGGTAATTTTTGATTATTCATAAAAGGTTCTTTATTAACTTAACAGAAGAAGTTTTTACAAGCTATTAAAGTTTATGAGCAAGCAATTCAGAATTGCTAAACAGACCAGAATGAATTTAAAAAACTAATTTAAGAAATAAAAAATAAAAAATGAACAATTATTTTTATCATTAAACAAAATATTCATCAACATTTTAAAATTAACTTTATAAACTATTCAATTATTTTGAGAAGCTCAAGAATGAAATTTTAACTAAACTTTATTCTCTTCTTTTAATTTATCTTTTTTGAAAAATGAACGATGATTAAATTTTGATTACAAATTAACAAATCTTTATTTATT